TTCGTTTTTAAGACTCAGTTTGTGAGCATGATTAATATGTATCTGATTTGTGTCTAATTTAATTAAATAACTGTGACACGTTATATATAAAACTGTCCTTAATGAAGAGGAATTAATAATACAGGACCAAGCGCAGTATCAGTGACTGCAAGCAAAGAAACAACAAATCAAAAGCAGCTACCGACCAAGCAACACTGTTACTGATCCCTGTGTGAAACAAACCACATGTGCTTCACACTTTCTCCTTTATGTATAAACAGTGAGTGATACACAAACCAGTTAACAGGTACAGCTGGAACCTGAGCCGGTCAGCAGCTGACAGGCTCGTGGGTGTAGCTAAGCAGGCGGACGCCTACAGACTCAGATCCTCCACAGCAGAGTGGCTGCAGTCATTATGAAACAATGCTCTGAAAACACTAATGAATGTGTCCATAACAAGAGTCCAAACTGAAATAAAACCTTCCTGTCCTTCAGTTTTTCTACAGAAATCAAAATGGCCAGTGCTGTAAAGCGACTCATAGTGCTGTAAAGCGACTCATAGTGCTGTAAAGCGACTCATAGTGCTGTAAAGCGCTGTACTGTCACACAGCTGCTGAGGGGTATTTTACTACAGTGAAACTGTGGAGTTGAATCAGAAAAATATTATGATGTATTCACTCTGCCTCATCTCTTGATCTGCTGATGGTGCTTCAGTCCCCGGCTGCTCCACAGGACTGTGTGTGGATGTTCGAGCTTGTGGTCAGGTGACTTAAAGAGCTTTAAGTGCTACGAGGCTACAAGAGGAACTAGTTCATGTGTTCATCTGATGTTTTTAATGATCATTTCAGCATTAAATGATACAAACCACAGAAAATAATGGTTCTGACAGACTTCTATAAAACACACGGAGTCTCTGCTATAACCAGACGTCTGAAACACGATTCTTCACTGTGATGAATCAAACTTCCACAGCAAGAACATTTCAAAGTGTTGGTTCAGCCAAATGAGCACAGACACACGTTTCCTCACTGATCTGCTGTAAATCAGACATGTAAAGGAGAAAAATAAAGGTTTTACGTTTTAGTCTCACAGCTGTGCTGTTAAGAAGCTCATTTACTGACTGAAACTGAACTTATTATGTCACACGGCTTCTTCTTTGGGCTTCACAGCTCTCTATGAAGCTTTTGTCTGTTTGTCGCTCTGGTTTTCTAGCACACCAAGCAGGAGGACGCACACAGGAAGAGACGTGGTGATCGCAAAGTGTGGATTCAGTGACTTCTCCTGATGACCAGCAAGAGATGGTGGCTGCCCTAATTCTTTGGTATTAAGATGTGAGGAACATATTTTTACAAAGGACAAAAACCAACCCCACCCTAGCAGACAGCTCTGAAAGTTGTGTATAACTTAAATGACAAAGTTTGAAGCCCAATCTTATAAAGCTGAGTGTTTGACCTCTGAACCCAAGCTGGGAGGTGGTGAACAGGTTGGTGGTGTGAGTGGGAAGTGCTGGCAGGTCGTTACATCGACGAGCCTGTGGACTGATGTTAACTATACCTTGACTCGGTGAAACTGCTGCTCCATAACCTGGAGGCTGCGTTTGGCTTCCTCGTCGTGATTCTCCAGCTCGGCCTCCAGACGTTGGATCCTTCGCTCCAGCAGAGCAGTGATCCGGCTGGAAGAGGACGTTTCGCCGGCGTCCTCGTGGCTGGCAGATGTGGCTGCAGCATAAATCAAAGCAGGCAGCGAGTTTGGGTTTCTGCTCCTGAGTATTTGTTCCAGCTCCTTCACCTGGTGAAAACAAGTGATATGAAGTTGTAGAAGAAGGAGAAATGAACTGTTAGTGTATGTCCGTGTGCCAAACCTGTCGCTCCAAGTCCTTCATCCTCTTCAAGTCCACAAATTTGTCTCTCGCCTTTCTCTGCCAGCTGTTTCTTTTGCCCACTTCCTGTTTCAGTTTTTCTACCTGAAATGGAGACGGCCTGTTACTTCCCACTTTCCATCCTCATTCCTAAAGCTTTTACTGTTGTCACTGTAAAGCACCACAAAAGAAGCTCTAGAGCAATGTTTCCAGAGCAAAGACAGACACGTTCCTTAAAACACAATTTAATCCATTTTAGTTTTTTCAAATCAAAACAACAGTTTCCTTGAGGCACATTTTGCTGTAACATAAAGAACTGAATGTTAGACAGAAACCAACAATCACACTGTGACAGCAGGAAAGAAAACGATGGTTTGTGGGAAAACCATCACAGCCTGGTCACATGGTCTGACTGGGAGAGTACAACCACCAGCCTTAAATGGGAATGATAAATTATTCAAGTCTAAAAAAAACTACAACAACAACAAAGACAAATAAAGTTCAACAAAG